CTCCTCCTCTCTCTCTCTCTCTCTCTCTCTCTCTCTCTCTCTCTTTGCCTCTTCCTTCTCCTCACCTAAATATAATGATTAGAAATCTTCCTTTCTTTCCTTTTCCCTCTCTCATGCAGAGCCTGCACACAGTCGGATCTAAAGCAGACTGGTGGTAACATCTATTCTTTTCCTGCTTGCCTATTAAGCTATGGGGCTAGTACTTCTTGAATTTTTTATATTCCATAGACTTGAACTTGATTTTGTGGATTTGATGGAAAAATTTATCGTTCTTGACCCTGAAATTCTGGCTTCCCAATCGGAAAATGATGACATGCACACTGTCCACACAGACACACCTGGACAGCAGTGGGTAAGGTCCACCTCAAGATGTTTGAACCACTCACATCATATTTGTTGGCCATTCGGTTGTGATGTCTTCTGTTACCTTCGTTAAGCTAACACTGGCAGTGAACGTATCTCTTCACATGCCTGCCTTGTCCACCCTTTCTGGCCTTCAACCTTCGCTGCTCCACTACCTGATTGATCTACTTCTCATGCTTCATTTTTCAATTTTGTTATTTCTAATGTTAACATAAAGAATGGACAGTCTGTGTGAGGTTTTTAACTGTTTTTCAGATTTTTACACTGGTTATTATCTTGATTGTCTGTTGGTAATCATAATGGTTTAGAATTTTTTAAAGCTAGATTGGACATTGGTCGACCCATTCATTTCAAATCTGGTATCTTCGCAAAATAATGCAGACAGGTATTCTTGGGAATTGAAGGACTTTCTTTTGGTCAAACAACTAAAATTCTCCAAAATGGACAGTCTGCCTGTATAAATTGATGATCTTCCATAATCTGACTTGTATAATATGTACATATGGGTAATCTTTGCATAACTGAAGCTACTTATCCACAGATTGTCTTTATAGCTTGTAGCTACTTCCAAAAGCAGCTAATGTTGCAAGATGACCCAAAATATAATTACATAGTTTGCCTTTCATGTTCTGATCACAATTTATATTCTAGGATCCTGATCTAGTTGTGGAGGCCATGTCTTCCACTAGTTCTTCTCAATCATCAAGAGCATCAGATGGACCTTCATCGCAAACTACTGCTCAAAATTTGAGGCCACAAAATTCAGGTGGATTGGAACTCAGAAGGCTTTTCATTTCTTATACTGTACAATATTCTGCCATAGAAATTCCTGTTAGATTTTGTACAGACATATCTTAGGCATCCTTTTTTAGAAAAGAAAACATATCTTTGAACTTTAAACATGTTGTCCAGGGTCCGGTAGTGGAAGTACTGGAAGAGCTCCATCAACAGGAAGGAACGTAAATTCATTGAGGCTGGATCAACGATCTATACAATTTTCTGTCAATGCTTGGGTATGTAAAACATTTCCTTGCCAAATGGCCAAACACAAGTACTAGCACATACTACTAGTGTTTGATTGCCAGGGATTTTGTCTTTGTTTATGGCATATTGTGCTTGATTGTGTTCTTCTTTAAATGATATTTCAGTCTTTGATAGAATTTGTAATCAACATACCTGCTCTAAATTCATTATTCTTATAGAATGTACACATAGAATATAAGCGCGTTGAAGAATGCATGTAACGCAATACCAAAATAGAGAGCTAAGGTTGTGTACATCCACCCTTCCCAAACCCTGCATTAATGGGAGCCTTGTGCATTTTTAAAGAGTAGGTTTACATTGATGTAACTGCTAGATCTGCATCCGTCGAGTAAAACAAGAAGCCTGTTTTCCAATCAGCATAGCTTTGCACAATCTGCAATCGTTTGAGTGATCAAGCAATAATTGTTTCAATCAGAGCAGGTCCCAATTGATGTTCTTATTAGACAAGATTTTTCTTATCGATCAGGTACACTCAAGTGGATATCAAGAAACATAGTGGAATAATTAGTTCTTTGATGTGAGCTTGGACTTCAGTTTTCCTTGTTAAGCTTTTTATAATTCTGAAAAAAAATTATGGAATGGATGGTATCTTTTTTTTTCACAATCAATGTAGGGTTGAAGAAAATATATAACGTGAACTAGAGTCTTTTTTTGTATCTTAGCTCATTTCATAGGAGCGCAAGATAACCTGATGACGTGAAGAAATTTGGTGGGTTTTATCTTTGTCTATGGTAAATTTGTTCATTTCTTGTTCCCATCTTTCTGCTGTTGCTTCTTTAGCTTAGTTTGTCAGGAGGTTGAAGTGGAACAAAAATGGGTGTGGGTAGGGCCCAGTAAATGTCCTTGTGTGCATATCTATAATGTGTGTACATATAGACAAGTACAAAGGTAGGAAGTACTTGGGAAGTGTCCCATCTTCTTTAGTGCTTTCAGGAGGCCTGCCGATGATGACAACA